ATGTTGTATCGTCATTACCTTTGGATTTTATGACGTCATGAATTTATAACTCTTGCGCACAATACGAACCTAGAAATGGCAACCTGTATAACGTATACAACATTGGTCAAAAAGTTTGTCCCACCCCCATTTGCATGTGCTTTTATTTACAAATGTTCACCTCACAGAGGTATATTGTTATAAACAGTGCCTTTTATTCTAGATACCATGTCTAACATGATTAATAATAATACATAATTTTTACCCTTGTTAAAGGCTTGTCGCGCCATCTACAGGAGATAATTGCAGTACGCGGTAGACGCACACCCTATTAGGCACGTGGTCTTTAATGAGCACATCCTAATGCTAATTGTACGTAAATTTGGTGACATTTGATGGCGTCTTTTCAATTTAATAGACATTTCTTTACATCTGTAGAAATCACAATGAAACATTGGATTTGAGGGGGTACCTGTTATTAATTTGACTATATGGTATAAAATGTATATATTTTTACCACTATTTTGTATTTTTTGAACCATTAATCATGTTAGACATGGTATCTGGAATAAAATGCACTAGTTATAACAATTTACACTTGTGAGCTGATCATTTGTATATAAAAGTACATGGAAATGGGGGTGGGGCAACCTTTTTGACCAGTGTTGTATATTTAGTTACATGTAAGGTCAGTTCTTGTTGATTTTGGAAATAAATCCTGCCCGTTGGATCCATATGGGTTATAGCAACTTTCTTAAGATTTACACCTTTAGCAACTTATTTGTTCTAAGAACTTTAACTTTTACACATTTTTTTCAAATGTGGCCTGTGCAAATTTGGAAAATACTAGTAAGTGAAATTTTCACATAAATGGAACTGGCTTTTTCAGGTGTACGAAGATGTCAAAGCGAATAAGGACCTCTACCGACAGATGCTTAACTACGCCAACCCTCGCAACGCTGAAGACGGCGGGTATCTGATCAGCTCAGAACATGGCGTCAACATCCGGGGCTCTATGACAGATGGGAATGTTGGTAAGCTAGGTGTCTGGATCGACGCGAGCAATCTGGAAGCCAGTGAATGGTGGACGCACTTAAATCATGGTTGCTCTACAAATACGGTATGGGCGATTTTAAATTATTCAAATCTCATATCTGATATGTTATGATGTGCAAAGCTAGTCTGTCTCTCTCTCTCTCGGCTTTTCTTTGTTTTGCATGTACAGCAAGAAATAGTTGATGCAATTATTATTACTATTATCACTATTATTATTATTATTATTATTATTATTATTATTATTATTTGTTTTTCACTTCCCAGGGTTGGTTCGGCAATTTCTGTTGGCGGGAATGCCCAAATGCTACCGGCTGGTGTTGGATTAACTCTAGATGTAGTAGCGACACCGACTGTCAGAAGAGCAGCGACTGTTACACCAAGTGTGGCTAAGATCCATCAATAGAGACACATCGTATTAGTTGGGTCAGTCCAACTCTGCGGAAGTGCAATCCGTGGAATCAGCTTAAACGTCTAGCAACAGGCAGTTAATTAACTTTCGCTTGCGTGCGCTCGGCTTATTACTCTCTTGGAGGCGTGTCATTCAATTAACCCGATTGCACTGAGCGAGAGCCCCTGTATAGTTGGACCGACCCAACTAGTACCATGTGTCTATGAATGCTCCCTAAGTGACGCACTGGAAGCTGAAAGCCTGGCACTCGTGAACACTTGAAAAATATATTATGTAACCTGGTAATGCAATGCAGTTGTAATATACCGTTTGTATTGTACATGTATTTTATTGTTTAAGGTCACAATTATCTCCTAACACCAGGACAGGAATTAACTGAATTGAATTGATATCATTACGAGGTTATTTGGTTTATAAATCTGTAAACCATGATTTTGAAGTCTCAAAAAATAATTCAAAAGCCAAACCGTGTCTGTATTTTTGCAAGATTTTCAATTATTGCAGGACAGGCATTGGTTTCAATGTTTCATTGTTTCCATAAGGCGTCAAGGCTCATGTTCCTCTTCTGATGGCATTCCATAAAGCTGTGAGCAAACGCTCGCATTTAATTTGCAGTTTGGTGCTCTGTTCAAGTTGATGCCATGCCTTGTGTTTATTATAAAGATAATGCTGATGAGTCTAAGATATCGAATCTCATGTCTTATGATATGCCTTATCCAACGTGCATATTTATGATATCTTCACATTTGCCAATATTTGTAGTTCTTAGATCTTTCTAAAATCGGTCTGTGACAGTCCCTGATAATGACCTTCGTCTTATTTCTAGCCGGAATCTCAGATAGAAAATATAGCAACTTTATTTATCAATCTTTTTATTTATTTATTTATTTATTTATTTATTTATTTATTTATTTTTGTATTTGTGTATTGGCATCTTTATTTATGTATTATTTATTTTATGGTGACAACGGTATAGGGGGTGGGGTGGGAGGGGGAGGGGCAGAGCAAGATTACATGAACAACTACAAACTATCAGAATGCATGACCATACTCAGATCACCATAATAATTCTTGGGAGACGAGCCATCTGTCTCTGTACAACTTATCGTGGTGGTCGTGACCTTTATACCCAATCCCATGTTAGCCTGCATTCGTCGCAGTTCCAACAACAACATGAGGGTCACGCCGTCTGTTTTTGCCCTGTAAGTATGGCCTCATTTTTTGTAACCTCCCTTAAAGCATATGTGTACATCAACCAAATTAGAAGAACGGTTACACTTTGCTATGTTTGCCTTATATATGGAGTCGGTTGCACAATATATTTAAAACATATTTAAATATTTCGTTGATTTACTACTACTGAAGGAAGCAATCCAACCTTACTACTGAGGATATATATGTCATTTACATTTGCTTTTAACGCCAATTATTTCCTATGTTTTCGTCATGTCGATAAAAGGAATATTTCTTTTCTCGGCAAAGGAATAATTCTCAAAGGGCGTTCTGCAGCTAACCTCTCCTTTCCCTACCTTCATTCCAACATGTATTCCATTACTTAGGTTATTGGTATTTGCCGTGCTCGGTTCTGTGTTGGGTAAAGCCAAAAACACAGACCTCGCAGAAAACACTTTGGTTCAGAGGGCTCTGACCGATGAAGAACTGAAAGATCCCAATAAACGCGTCGGTAAGAACATTAATCATAATAATTACGTTAATTATCATTAACGATTCTATTCACGTTTTGATATCCCCATATGAGTGTAATCTAAGGAGAATTCTCATCAGGAGGGGGAGAATTCCCGAGATTTATGTAACTCGAGGCGATAAATTGAAGCTGCATTCACACACGATAGGTTTAACTGAGACGCTTCTTTATTATTAATGACGCTGGAAAATAGTATCCTTTGATTAGTCTCAATCAACGGTGTCCAATCTTCAAAATCGTGAACTTTTACCAGGCAAATATTGCTCTGCTTTAACGGTAGTTTAACGATGCGTAAGCAGCTGACTGGATTCATCAATATTTAAATGCACCCCCTTACTAGCAAAAATGTTTTCAAGAACCCTTGAGTTTGAAAAATAAAATAACCATTTGTTGCGAGAGAATTTGGTATTCATTTAACTTGCATGTATTAATTAACAATTTTACAGCCGTAGGTGCAGTAGTGGCTGGTGTAACAGCCGTGCTGCCCCTCCTGGAGAAGGTCGCATCATACGTTCACACGGCCCGGTCCTGCGTGATAGCCATTGCAAACCAAGGGAACAAAGCCTTAGTAAATCCAACTTGGTAAGTCCTTGCCTGCCTCTGAATATCAGTCTGGCCTTTTATCTATATTCAGTTATTATTGTCATAACAATAATAATTATTATATAATATTAATTGCTGTAGTCATTATTATTATTATCATTCGATGAAAAAACCCTGTAATTTAATTGTTTATAAACGACCATCAGCTAGAACATGAATAGGGGCCTATTTACACCATGGCCATTTGGACTTGGACGCACAGTCATTTTCTTTTTTGACTAAGATATGGAGCATACAAATCTGTTTGTCCTTGTCAATTGAAAAATACATGTATACAATCGTGTCATACGGTCACTTCTTGTTGTCCACTACCAGGTACACGGACAATGGTGTTATCAGTGGTCATCCGCCGTACACCATTCTGCCCAATACAACCGGACTCCTGGAGTTTGACCAAGGCAAACGTGAGTTTCTGAATTATCATTATTATTAGTCAAAGTGTGATTGTTAACTCTGCTTAACAGCTGTTGCCTTGGCAACGGCATGGAACGTTAACTAGTTCATAAAGTTAACAGTGTGAAAAAATAATATGAACTTTACAGCAACTACTCAAAATATGAAATCTTAATTACCACAGTTTTTGTGAACCTTAATTTTCCGAAGTAATGAGAGGAAAGTGTCCAAAAAGCGACCAAGGCCTGTTTTGATGGGTTAGCATTGAATCCCACCCTGAGCTTCAGAGCTAACTTGACACTAACCTTTTCACTGTAGCCTATCTCCATCGTGTCAAGTAACCTCTGACCAGATTCGAGTGCCCCCGCCGCCCGCCAATCAAATTTAAAGCCCGCACTCAATGACTCATTGAACGATCTAGCCAATGAACGCGAACGAGTCAAAGCGAGCTTTGTTCAAATCCGGACCAATCAAAGATAAGGCTGAATATCAGGGACTTGCCGTAACCTGTGGGCAGCACGCAAAAAACATCATCCCTCAGTAGATAATGATGCAGGGCATCATACTGCTCTGGTTTCAATTCCGATATACTCCATGCTTTCTTTGTGTACGGTTATGCACTCGGAACTACTCGGGTGTCTCCGCACTCGACAATAACTATGTTGTTAGTATGGAGCTTGCGGAATCAGCCGAGGATTGCCGATTGACGATCAACCAATCAGCGTTTTCACCAAACTTTGGTGAAAAATTTTGAAACATGGATTCGATTGGCTTATATAAACTAGGTCAAACTATTTTCGTCAGAGGTTACTTGACACGATGGAGATAGGCTACAGTGAAAAGGTTAGTGTCAAGTTAGCTCTGAAGCTCAGGGTGTTGAATCCTGACAAGATGCTGAAAAAATGTTCTAATGTTACTTTGCCTTACAGTTCCCGCGGGCACCGAAGGGGTGGTGGCATACGAGGTGGCCGGAACCAACTGGAGAGTCGCCGTGATGTGGAGTGTGCCGTATATCTATGGAATCTGGTCCAACCATTTCCACGTGAAGGTACGAGACATCCGGGCTCTTGATACGTCAGCATACACGAAATTGACATACTTTAAATGCCCGGATATCTATTCAAAACATCTGGGTCTTTGATGGGTCTGTATATACTGTAATATGCATCGACGTCATATGAAATGTGAAAAGGGGTTAGCTTTCATTGGGAAATAGGTCGATAACGTAATTGTTTTTCTTTTTTATTTAACTTTAATCAGGTGTATAATAACATGGACGCTTCAAAGGAGATGTTCAAACAGATGTACCATCTCGCCGACCCCCGCAATGCAGAAAACGGCGGCTACATCAACGCCGTTGAACACGGCATTGTCATGCGGTCCACCATGACCGACTCCAGCGTGGCCCGTCTTGCCGTATGGGTCGACCCCAGCAACCCCGAAGGTGACATCTGGTGGAAGAATTTGCACTCCGGATGTTCTTATAACGCGGTTAGTTTAAATTTTTCTCTCAGGCGAGAAGAGCAAATTCTTACGGTGGTACAAAACGCAGCCATTTTGTTAACTTCGGCAAATCATAGGGTAGAGAGAGAGACCCACGTAAACTGTATAGTTTAATAATAATAAAAATAACAATAATAATAATGATAATAATAATACACGGCGCGTTTCTATGCTATTAGTCTTATTATGATTATCAAAGTGAAAGTTATATTTCATTCAGTTTTTTTATGCTGAAATAATTACTTAACGACATACAAACTGCGACATCTGGGGGACCGTGCCTGGGAGACATCCCTCGCGACACCGCTGACAATTCAAAATCAGTTCACCTGAAGAAGATCTTCTTGTCATTTAAGGACGAAACATCGTGATTTCCGTTTCGACGTAAGAACCAGTATTAGATAAAATTTTCTCATTATCTCAGTACAATGCATTATTATAGTTATTATTATTTTTATTATTATTAATACTATTATATCATATTTACCGTTTTATTTTTCTCTTAAAGCTATGGTTCAGTAGTTACTGCTGGAGAGAGTGCCCTAACGCCACGGGATGGTGCTGGCAAGACATTAAGTGCAGTAACGACAACGCCTGTAGTACCACCATGGCCCAAAAGTGCCACTCTGGGTGTTAGGTTTAATGTGGCATGACACAGATTTGGTGGAAAAAATGGATGTTGCCTTTTTTGAAAGTGAAAGCTGTGTTGTGGAATGAATAAATTATGCAGATCAAACTGGTATTTTTCTTGAATATTTAATAAGCTTATACATACATTCTTTGTGCATTTAAAGGGACAACAACTTTCCATTTTCATGGAAAAGTATCATAAAACGGATTTATTGAGGTAAACGACGGTTTCCCATATTTACTAATGGTTAATAAATCCGTTCCGACATTCGATTCTTTCACCTTTGAAAATCCACCTAGCAAACACAGATTTCAAAATAATTGCGATTATCGCTGTACAATGGAATGTGTTATGTTTTTGTGTGTTTTTTACAAGTTATTTATTGCTAAAATTTGAATCTCATATGAAGAGTTGTTATCCTTTTATAGTCTGTAAAGTGCATATGCCCCTCGATTTCATTTCAGACCATTTCCATTTTCGCGAGTGTAACTTCTGTATATAGATTTTGCTAAAAGAAGTATAAATGAATTAATATTGAAGACCGCTAACCTCACTAAATGTTCCAAATTTTAATAAGTCATCAGTAAAAAGCATAACTCTTTGTCTTTTCGGAACAATTTATACCTTCTAACCAATAGGAAGACCTATATTGCCGGAAGTAAAGCTAATTTGACCCTGTCATTTTTGTAGGGACTGACTTGGTTCTTTAGCAGTACTTACTCAGGCTTTTCTTCCTTTTCTGAGACAGTTACGGTCAAGGTCACAAGGGAGTAGATGTCAATACGACTGCTCCTATTGCCTGGCCAACTCACCTCATTTATAGGGAAAATTTTCCAGTCTATATACTGGTACAAACTGTATTTATATAATAGCACGAAAGCAAGACACTTATGTTAAAACAGTCGGTAGTTTTACCAGTCTTCCCTAATCGTGAAAGGCAAAATTTTATGTCGAAAACTGGAGAAGCCTCTCCGCTCTCTTTCTGATAAGGGGAGTTACCGATGTATACATTGCTCTGGGATAGATAACATGATAACTACTCACTATGACACTCTGGTGTTACACCTGACTATGCTCACTCACGTGACTCTGGGTCAGTTTCAACTCCACTCAGACCAAAAACACTCAGACCAGCAGAGAGTGTTACTATATTTTTCTTTCTCTAAGACTCCACAATTACGTAAGTGTTATTTCAGTGTCATATATCTATTAGATGAGAAGAGTTGTTTTATTTGTAAAGAATATTGTAAGGTATTTTTACATTTTGTAAGGTATTTTCCAATTTTCTAGAGACCAGCAATACTACAGTTCAATATAGTGTAGTGCTGTTTTAAAATAAAACACAAAAAGGTCAAGCTGCGTTAATGAATCGTAAAACCTACCCCATTATGGTCGGTAGTTGGGATTTTTTCCATAAGAAAGGATTTTTATTAATTTAGAACTCGGCTTCAGCCTGCATTGCACCAGTAAGTTATGTCATTCTTCATATTTCAATCTTTAAATGTGGCATTGTAGTGCTCCATACATTGGTATTAATAACTACCCAGCGGGCAAATCGTGTTGTTTTAACGTTGAAACAACGTTGAACCATAACGTTGAGAAGACATTGGATAAACGTTTGATTTGAAAGTTGTGTCAACCTCAGAAAACAACGTTGTATCAACGTCAGAAAACAATGTTATATCAACCCCACCCAGCGGGAAATTAGCCTGGATGTGTGTAGCAGTAGGACATATGTTTGATGGCTAAATATATGTAGGGTATAAATGTATGGCCTTTAAGTTAAAATTTCCAAGGTTTAGATTAATATGTATAGTTCTTTTCTTATATATATACAATCCATAACTGCAAAGTTGTGTCATTGACCAAAATACAACGTTGAGTCAACGTGACTGGATCAACGTTGATTTTACCTTGAATTTAGGTAGATCAATGGCAATTCAACGTATCAACCTGTTTTCAACGTTAATCCAACGCAACTATGCCTGCTGGGTATACCCCACAGGGGAGTGTAATTAATGTAACAATTGTTTTTTTCCCACAATGCAATGGTTACATAGAAGATACCCAGCAGGCATAGTCGCGTTGGATAAACGTTGTAAACAGGTTAATACGTCGAATTGCCGTTGATCTACCTAAATTCAACGTAAAATCAACGTTGATCCAGCCACGTCAAAACACCGTCATAATGTGACGTTGACTCAACGTTGTATTTTGGTCATTGACACAACCTTGCAGACATGGATTGTAATTTAAAATATTAATTATTGAAAACGTGATACTTTGTTTATCAATACTGTAACTAACTTTATCAAAATAATAAAAAAGTGTTTTAAAGTAAAGGTGACAGTTGTTTTGTGTCTTTGGTGAACTAGTGAATTTTCTTAACTTGTCATTCAGAAATACATTCCAATAAACTTCTTTGCAAGGTCAGCTAACACTAGAATAAATAAGTCGCTGTAAATGTGATTGAGTGAAGTTAATAAAGTTGACAATTCTCGGTACCCTGTTATAGATAGACAGGTTGAGGTGACTGTGACTTTGTTATATATATATATATATATATATATATATATATATATATATATATATATATATATATATATATATTAATCTAAACCTTGGAAATTATAACTTAAAGGCCATACCCTACATATATTTAGCCTTCAAACATGTCCTACTGCTAAACACATCCAGGCTAAAAGGGTGTACCATGCTTAGGTGCAAAACATGCTTAGGAGCTAGATGCGTTGAAAAAATCAGACAAAGCAGGCACGTGGATGTTTTTACAGTGTACGTTATAATTGTCTACCTGTGTTTTGTACCAAAAATAAAAACATTTCATGTCATTTTTATGTCTTTTCATGCAAGAATGTTGTCTAACAACTGGGGTTGATACAATGATGTTATCTGACGTTGAGTCAACTTCCAAATCCAATGTTTATCCAACGTATTATCAGCGTTTTGGTTTAACGTTGTTTCAACGTTAAAACAACACACGCTGGGTAGCAAAATTCTAGTAGCTACCAACAGCTCTTTTAACCTATAACACATCCATCGGATACTGAATAATTTTTACAAGGTCCTTGAACGATTAAAATGATACCCAGGACGAATAAAAGGCTCGCTTTTTTCGTCAAAACAAGGTCTAATATCACAGATACCATTGTATTGTTCACTTTCTTATTTCACCAATGGGTAATTACGACCTATTGCCGTTTAAAATTACTCCGGCACCATCCTGCAATTTCCGTTTTATTATCCCATGCATATATATAGCAGTTTTGTAATTGCATGATAAAACATTTCGACGAGGCGCTAATGTTAGAAGTTACATAAATATAATTACATATGGTGTTTTTAGATCTAAAACATGTTATCCATTTCCTAGTGATTATGATAATTTTCAATTTTGGACAGAGAATTTAAAATGTTGGTTATAAATAAGCTTATTTGGAATAATGTAGTGAATGATCAATTATGTTGTAGTCGTCTTTATGTAGACGGCAATCATCTTTGGATAGACTAACAGCAGTACACATGAGCTGTCTGTATAATCAACTTCGTCATTCTGGGTGGTCATTGTGAAGCACATAAGTCAAGGTAATGTGCTATAAGAAAGGAATTCACTGGGGCAAATCTTCTACCATAAACATTGTTTTTTCATAATTAAATACTATTTTTTATCTAAAATTAGATCTGTTTTGTAACCAGCTATCCAAAAGCTGCAAATGTAAACGCCACTAGACTTTTTATTAAAAAGTAGTTCTATTCTTGAGTTCGCAATATATCCACCACGCCAGCAGTGCAAGATGCGTACAGTAGGCTATACTTAATATCACATAGTTGACGAGGCAGCCCGACGAGGTGAGATGTTTTAGGGTACCATCTCGAAAGGGCATTGCTGATACAAGCAGACTACCCCGGCTCACATGAGACGTGCAGGGAATGCATTTTAAAGTATGACATACTGAAAAAAACAACTTGTCTACATGTTCGTGCAAAGTCAAATGTATATGAAGTTTATTGTGCTTGTTCACTGGTCCACAGGGTTTTTGTACGGATTTGTGTATGTGTGTGTGTGGGGGGGGGATGCAACGTTAGGAAAACTAAAGTTGAGACGAGGAAAATGGTATTTTGTTTTGCCATAAAATCTATGGCACAGGATTACCCGAATGTTTTTGGGTTTTGCTCCTTCAACCTTTATTTATTTATATATTTATTTATTTAATTAAGTATTTTATTTTATATTATTTTAAGGGGGGAAGTGGTTGCTCAAAATCTATCAAATCAAACCTCAAATCCAGACATTTGGCAATGCACTTTTTGTTTCACTCCACTATTTGGGTTTGAACAAAACTCCTCATTTATCCTCAGTATGAAGATTGTGGCCGTGGTGTTAACGTTTGTGGTCCTTGTTAGCCTCTCTTCGGCACAGCTGACCTTGTATCCTCGCCCCAACAAAACAAGTGGTAAGTATATAACTCTCTTCACTTTCCTTCCTTCCCATTTTTCTCTTTTTACCCTGTCCCACCTACTCCATACTTATCTCTCCCATCTTTATTAGACTTAAAATGACTATTTAAGGGCTTAATTACAATTAAATTGCAACAAAAAAGACAAAAAAAAAATAATGTGATTTATTAAAAAAATATCTGGGACCTTTTCTTGTTATTATTCTCTATATAACTTGTTTTAGGTTGTCCAGGAAATCTGGTACTCACTAAACATTGCGACAGGGTTTGTGCCAAAACATGCGCTCAACCTGTCCTCGGAATGTGTTATTTCCTGTGTTGGAGAGGTTGCGTTTGCCCCAAGGACCGCCCTATCGTCCTGGATAAGGAAACCTGGACATGCGGAAGGCTGGCTGACTGCCCTGCACAATAAATTGACACTTTTTGAAAATTTGCCCATTTTCTGTAGGATCTAAGGTAAAGCTGTAGATTGAGCGTGGCTCATGATCAGCAAATACACATTTGAAACTTGTTGGAATCTTTTTTTGTTGTTGTTGGCGTATCATATTGTTAAATAATGTGAATGATAAAAATTTGATTCGTTTTTGCGTTTGTTTTATTTCACCATAATAGCTTCCAACGGGGAATAAACACAGATGAAACGTTAACTTTGTCTACATTTTTTAAAATGTATATCATTAAAAAGATTCTGTTTAGGCAAATTGGTTCGCCTTTTGAACTTCTTATTTGCCAAGCAGCCTTCTTGAATAGGGTCGTTTCGGGTGATTATTTGTTTATTTGTTAATGTTGTTATAGAATTGTCATTTTCATCATAATTTCCTTTTTGTTTAATAGAAAAAACATCTGCCAAAGTTTCGAGAAGTCATTGTTAATTATCTTTTTGAAATAAACTACCGATAGAACAGGGCTTCTCCGTACGTATCAATAAGAACCTTGCCCTGAATCGTGACAGTTTTATTATTATTATTTATTTACTTATTTATTTTTATAAGTTAAAAGTACATAGGATTAATCAACGTAGATTACACAACTTCAAAGCAAATGTAAATTGTTATACCCGGCAAAGGCGGTGACGACGCGTTGGCTAAGCATTATACTTGTAGCTTCTTACATTAATAATGGCGCTACAGGGATATTAAAATAATAAATAGTAAAATAAATATTAAAATATCCAGATTAATGCTGACATCAATCTTACTGTATTTGTGCCAATGTAACCGAACGGTTGTACAATTGTGTCAGTCACATGAACCGATTACTTACTAGTATAATAAAAAGTACACAAAAAAAGACTTTTCCTGGAGCAAACGACAATTTCCCCATACTAACCAATGGTAAATGGATCAATGCCGAAATTTAAAGTGAGTCTATTTTTTTTTTTTTTTTTTTTTTTTTTTTTGATTCTAAAAAGTTTGGATTTTTGTGTAATAATCACTTAAAAGGTTATTACAGAGGGTAGCTATGTGTGGAGATCACGTGGTCTGATGGAAGCATAGATTCCAGAATAATTGCACTAAATGTCGTTTTGGTGGTAATATTTTTTAATATTTCTAGGAGTTTTTTTCCACTTTGTTAATCGTGCAATATGAATATCATACCAATAGTTATCCCTTAATTTCAACGAATCTTTGACTGTTTACAAGCGTGTTGCAGAACAGAACGCAGCCATTTTGTAAACTTCGACAAATCATTGGGTAGAGAGAGACGTTCTTCCATTTTGTTGCATTGGTAAGGGTTAGCCTGGCATAATTGGGTTAAAATCAAGGGCCATTCTTTCCTGTACACGCTTTCCGTCATGGAGGACTCTCTGTCATGGGGTCACACCTGTGGCAACTCAAAATTAGTTCACCTGAAGAAGACTTTGTCATTTAAGGTCGAAACATCGCGATTTTCGTTTCAACGTAAGATCTAGTATTCGATTAAATTTTCTCATTATCTCAGTACAATGCATTATTATTATTATTATTATTATTATTATTATTATTATTATTTACCGTTTTATGTTTCTCTTGTAGCTGGGGTTCAGTAGTTACTGCTGGAGATAGTGCTCTAACGCCACGGTGCTGGCAAGACAAAGTGCAGTAATGACAACACCTGTAGTTTTACCATGGTCCAGAAGTGCCACTCTGTGTGTTAGGGTTAATGTGGCATGACACAGTTTTGGCGGGAAGAAGATTGAATGCTGTCTTTTTTTTTTCTTTTTTTGGGCGCTGTTTTGTTACATGAATAAATTATGCAGATTATTGGACTTTTTCTTGAATAGAATGGTTATATTGCGTACTCAGGATTTGGCATACTTTTCAAAAAAAGTCGATTCTACATTTGCAGCTTATTTATAGTTCCAAAACAGATGTAATTTTAGTTCAGTTTTACGAAAAAAAGAAAAAACACTGAAATTCGGGTATTTAACTATGTAAAAGCAATGTATATAGCCTATTGGACTTTTTATTGAATAGTAAAAAAGCTTATACGTCCATTCATTGTGCATTTCAAGGGATAATAGCCTCGTTTTGCTGGAAATATGCCATAAAACAGACTTTCCTGGGGTAAACGACGACTTTCCCATTTTTATCAATGGTTAATAAATCCCTTCCGATCTTTAAAGGTCTATGTGGTCTGTTGGCAAGGACAGATTTCAAAATAATTGCGATAACCGCTGTATTGGTGGTAAAATGGAATTTGTTATATTTTGTGTGTTGTTTACAAGGTATTTATTGCTAAAATTTGAATCCCATATGAAGAGTTGTTATCCCTTTATAGTCTTTTAAGGCGCAGGTGACCCTCGATATCATTTTAAACCATTTCCATTTTCGAGAGTATCATTTTTGTATATAGATTTTGCTAAAAGAAGTATAAATTAATAGATACAGGTATTGAAGACAGCTAACCACACAAAATGTGCCAAATTTTAATTAGTCGTCAGAAATAGGCATAACTCTTTGTCTTTTCGGAACAATGTGTATCCTCTAACCAACAGGAGAGCCTATATTGCCGGTAGTAAGGCTAATTTGACCCTGACTTTTCTGTAGGTACTGACTTGGTTCTTTAGCAGTACTCACTCGGGCTGTTCTACCTCTCCTATAACGGTTACGGTCAAGGTCACAAGGGAGTAGATGTCAATTTGACTGCTCCTATTGGCTGGCCAACTGACCACATTGATAGGGAAAATATTCCCAGTCTAAATGTTACAAATCACGGCATATTGGCAAGGTATATGAAGTTACCGGACCCAAAAGTAATTACTTTGGGATATATGAGATTTAAATTTATTACATATTTTTCACTCGCAAAATTGAAAAAGCATACACATTTTTAAGTGTATTTTCCGGCCAGACCTTATAGACTATTAGCAGACAATACAAATGTACATGTGCTCTTCGAAACTCTCGGCTCATATCCTATATACCGGTCCAGACTGTATTTATATAACAGCACGAAAGCAAGACACTTATGTTAAAACTGTTGGTAGTTTTACCAGTCTTCCCTAATCGCGAAATTTTATGTCGAAATCTGGAGAAGATCCACTGCTCTCTTGTTTCAGGATAAAGAAGCTGATAACAGCTCACTTTGCCACTCAGGTGTAACACCTGAATATGCTATCATATGACTCTGGGTCACATTTACCTCCACTCAGACCAAAGATACTCAGACCAGACTCAGACCAGACATAGGGTGTAACTCTAGTGTTCTCTCGTCTAAGACTCCACACTTACGTAAGTTTCATTTCAATTTCAAATATTTATTTGATAAGGACAATTGTTTTATTTGTAAGGAATATTGTAGGGTATTTTTCGTTTTTATAAGGTATTTTGTACTGTTTTTTTCTTAGTGATCAGCAATACTACAGTACAGTGTGGTGCAGTGCTGTTTTAAAATGAAGACAAAAAAACCAGTCGCAAAACCTACCCAGATACAGTTATACACGGTCAGTAGTTGGGACTTTTTTTCCAGTGAGAAAAAAATGTTTACTGAATTTAAAACTCGGCTTGAGCCTTGAGTGTAGGTTGTTTCATTCCTCATATTTCAATATTTAATTGTGGCATTGTATTTCTCCATACATTGGTATAAATATACCCCACAAGGGAGTGCGATTAATGTAACATATAACTGTTTGTCTCCAAATGCAATTGTTAAGTAGAAGAAAACGCTATACTAGTAGCTACAAACAGCTCTTTTAACCTATTCACATCCATCGGATACTGAGTAATTTTTACAAGGTCCTTAGACGAATAAAACGAACCCCAGAACGAATAAAACGCTCGCTTTATTTGTCCAAACAAGGTCTAATACCATAGATGCCATTGCATTTTTCAACATCTTATTTCACCAATGGGTAATTACGACCTATTGCCGTATAAAATTACACCGGCACCATCCTGCAATTTCCGTATTATTATTCCATGCAAATAGATATGCAATTTCGAAAGCGGTGAAACGTTTCGACTCGGCGCTAATATTAGATGTTACATAAATATAATACTAATATTTGATGTATCTCGATCAAAAAAAAAAATGTTACTCATTTCCCGGCGGTTATGTATTTTTTTTTCAATTTGGAGAGAGAATTTCAATTGTTGGTTCTAAATAAGCTAATTTGGAATAATGTAGGGAATGATCAGTTATGTTGTAGTCGACTTAATGTGGACGGTAATCATCTTTGGATAGACTATTTAACAACAGTACTCTGGAGCTCTCTGTATGATCAACATTGTCATTGTCGCTGGTTATTGTAAAGAAGACAAGTCAAGGTAATGTGGTGTGCAAAGGGAAGTCAATGGGCTATATACTTGCTTTTTCATAATTCAATACCCGAATTTAAGTGTTTTTTCTTGATTTTTTTCGTAAAACTGAACTAAAATCACACCTGTTTTGGAACTATCAATAAGCTGCAAATGTAGATTCGACTTTCTTTCCTTTTTTTTTTTTTTTTTTTTTTTGAAAAGTATGTCTATTCTATATCTACCGTGCCAGCAGCGCAAGATGCGTAAAGTAGGCTATAGTAAATATCACATAGTTGACGAGACAGCCCGACGAGGTGAGATTTCTTCGGGTTCCATCTCAAAGGAGCACTTGCTGATACAAGCAGCTGACCCCGGAACGTGTATAGAATGCATTTTGAAGTATGACATGCTGAAAAAAACAACTTTTCTAAATGTTCGTGCAAAGTCAAATTTGCATTTGAGGTTGCATGTACTGTTCACTGATTCACAAGGATATTATACTTGGCCTGGGGGGGGGGGAGGGGGAGGGGTAAGACGGAGGCAAATGGCATTTTCTTTTGCCTTGAAAAATATGGCACAGGAATACCCGAATTGTTTGGTTTGGCTCCTTTTAACCTTTTATTTATTTATTTGTTTGTTTATTATTTTTCTTTCTTTCTTTCTTTCTTTCTTTCTTTCTTTATTTATTTATTTCATTTTACTTTATTTAAAGGGGGGGAGAGATTGCTCAGAAATGGTCAAATCCACCCTCAAATCCAGACATTTGGCACTGAGCACTGTTTCACTCTGCTATTTGGGTTTGATCATAACTCTTCATTTATCCCAGTATGAAGATTGTGGCCGTGTTAATAACCTTGGTTGCCCTTGTTGGCCTCTCTACGGCACGGCTGACCATTTATCCTCACCCTAGCGAAACTGGTGGTAAGTAACTCTCTTGTCTTTCCTTCCCTCCCATTTTTCCCTTTCTACCCTGTCTCACTTTCCCCCCACCTCCCGCTATCTTTAGACTGCATTCCCACAGATTTAGATCGATCCATCTGGATCGACCTAACTCCCAGAGGGTTCACGAAAGTTAATTACCCCCTTACAGCTTTTAGTAGGCGGGACAGACATTTAAGCCGGCTAAGCTGACAAAAATCTAGTGAGACTCCCCACGGGGATAGATCGATCTAAGATCTGTGGGAATGCAGTCTTTAACTTTCAATGACGATTTGATAGTAAATGTTGCTTACCAAAGAGTTGAATTTCAATTTAATCACAATAACAAAGATAATGTAAATAATTCGACTTAAAATATCATCTGAAAGCATTTTCTTGTGATAATTCTCTATACTGTATATATTACTTATTTTAGATTGTCCAGGCAATCTGGTAATCACTAAACGAGAAGGTTGCGACACGGTTTGTGCTAAAACCTGCGCTCAACCTGTCGTCGGAATTTGCTATTTCCTGTGCTGGCGAGGTTGCGTTTGCCCCGAGGACCGCCCCATTGTCCTCGATGAGAAAAACTGGACATGCGGCAAGTTGGCTGACTGTCCCGCACAATAAATTGATATTTGTTTGAAAGTTTTTCCCATTTTATGTATAGTCTAAGCCAAAGCTGTAGTTTCTGGTGTGGCTCATGCTCAGCAAATATACATTTGAATCTTGTTGGACTCTTTTTTTTTTGTTGTTGTTTTCGTATCATATGGTTAACTAATGTGAAAGATAAAAATCTGATTGATTTTTGCTTTTGTTTTATTTCACCAAAATAGCTTTCCAACGGGCAAATACTACATATAAAAGGTTAACTTTGTCTATATTTTAAAGATTCTGTTTAGGCATACTAATTCGCTTTTACACTTCTTATTAGCGAGACAGTCTCCTTAAAAGAGATCGTCTCGGGTGATTATTTGTTATTGTTATTTTAGAGTTGTCATTATCATCACAATTTCCTTCTTGTTTATCAAAATAAAAAATAACACTGTCCAAGTTTCAATAATGTATTGTTAGGTTCCTGTTTTGAAATAATATATAGATAGAAAAGGGTTTAAGCATGTATGTACAAACCAAGAAGAACCACCTGGCCCTTCCGTTCGTTTGTAAGTTAAAAGTACATATGATTCATCAACTCAGACGGCGCAACTTCAACGCAAAACGCAAATTGTTGTAACACGCATAGGCGGTGACGACACGTTGGCTAAGCGTGATACTTGCAGGTTTTTACGTAAACGATTGCGCAAAGTAAATATTAAAATATTCAGTTTAAGGCTGATTTTAATCTTGCAGTATTTGTGCCAGTGTAACGATACGGGACAGGCGACCGAACGGTTGTACAATTACGTCAGTCACATGAACCGATTATTTACTAGCACACGTATGAAAAAGAAGTTACATAGGTACCGGTACTTCTGTCTTATATTGGCAATGTATTTTAATTGAATTCAATGGACATCCATTGTTTATTTTGGCCAAAAAGTGGATTTTTCTGGAGAAAACGAAGTTTCCCCATACTTGCTAATGAATCCATTCTGAAATTCAAAGTAAGCCCCTTTTTTGTTCTAAAAAGTTGGAATGTTTGCAATAATCTCTTAAAGGATTATTACAGAGGGTAGCCATGTGTGGAGGTCACGTCGTTTGATGGCAAGCATAGATTCCAGAATTATTGCGCTAATTGTGGTAATATTATGAATATTTCTATGAGTTTTTTTTTTCAGTTTATTAATCGTGAAATATAAATATCACAACAAGAGTTGTTATCCCTTTAAACGAATCTTTGACTGTTTGCAAGTGTTTTGTTTTGGACCGAAAACAACAACCTCCTTCACCTGACCGTGCCATAAAATTTTATTCATAATTTCTTTTTCCCCCAAGTTCAAAGGGCGTCATTAAGGGGTCCCTTTTTTGCAAACTTGGAGGTCATTAGGGGCGCCCCGATAAGGGCGATGTAAGCCATCCATTTTAGTATTTATAGCCTAATAGAATTGTGACGAATGATGTAAAGGTGCACTGTAACGAAAATAATCACTCTGATCATGTAGTTTGTTGATCAGAAACAGAAAAAAATGTTTACTGTGCCATAACTTCTCATACATGACTCGTTTTCAGACAGATGCAGCCCAAGCGTTCCGTACGTAAAGAAATCATCCATCAATGTTGTCGCTTTTGCGTTTGTTATAAATATAAGGTCACAAAGAGAAAACGGCGATAAAGAGGAAAGGACGCAACCCAGAACAAATCCTTTCTATGTTAGTAGATGCTGCAACTATTGCTACGGAAGCAAAAGAAGAAAGCGGCAACCACCAGTACAGTAAGTAAAATGATTGGAATTGACTGATATACATAAATGGTACTAACAAATTACTTTTAGGAAAAATCAATTTGATGGGTTCTGTCAACGATGGCCAAATTTCCGAGTTATTACCATGCCAAGATCTCAATGTCTTACTCTGGTTTTCAACTGTTGTTAAAATAATTTATCATTAGAATTGTGAGTACAGCATAGAGCTGATGGAATCCTTTGCTTGGTTTTAGCTGGACCGTTTTAGGTAGATAAAGAATATATAGTGTTTATGTTTACAGTACATTGCCTTAGCTATCGAAATTTACGACAAATATTGTCATTTCTATTATTTTTTCTATCTAAAATTTAGTTTGTCAAAGTTATTTCTATTATAGGGACAGGCATCGACTTTGCAGAAGAACACATAGGCTATCAGATGCAATGTTTCATGTTTGTTTTCGAATGGCCTATTAGTAATTATTTACAACCATAAAATCACTACAATAAAATTCCAAATAGCATGTATAAGTAAAAAAGCACATCATATTCTTAACTTTTCGACTGAAAATAAAGACCCAATTCCATAAACTCTAGATATCAGTACCTATAGCTTAAATCAGACAATTCAGAGGATAAAGTCGCCCAGTCTAAAGTTGTGGGATAAATCATGTATCCTTCAAAATGCTTCTGAGAGGTTTTAAGCTTGGGCCAGGACAACTTCCACAAATACGCGATGTCTTGATATAATCGGAAACTACCTCAAGATGTTTAGCACTGTGTATCAGAAACGGCTAATGAAGTAGATGGAAAATAAAGAGATCGTGCGATTTCTTTCTTGTATACCCCGATTGGACAGTTGTCTTAGAGGATAAAATTTGAGCGTAACACATTTATACAAAACTAAAAAAAACGAAGAACAAACAACTAAATAAAAAGCTGAAATAAATAAAAGAGTTTAAAGAATGGACAATTTAATACTTTTAATTTCATGACCAACGTTCACCTTGTCTAAAACCGTTCAAACTTTTGGTAGTATCTGTAATTCTAATCTTAGTTACCCCCTCTAAATGAGAATAAAGACCGGTGAATTTCAATCGCGGCGGCAAAAATAGATATTAAGAACTCGCAACAGAGTTATGGATTGTAGGTATAAGCCGTACATGTACTTCGTTAACTAAAAGAAATATTTAAAAACATTGGAAAGATAACATGGTGTGCCCTTAATCTATTAAAATAATGCAGCTTCTCACATAAGACCCCAGTAAGAGCTGTTATCATGCGGAACACCAATGGTGGCATTCAGAACAGTGGACTAACTGGTCCGAGGGTCAAATATGGCCGAGCCGCTTGACTACTTCCCCACGGGGAATCTATTAGCGGATTAGGCAGCAAGCTTTTTAGCGGGTCGCCATATTTGACCCACGAACTAGTAAGTGCACTGTTCTGAATGCGGTCAATAGGTATTTTGAATGTAGATGCTGCCATGTGGACAATTTTACTTTACTGAAGAGCTTGCACTCCGACACGACGATGTCACGTGATACGTGGCAGCTACCTGCAAAAGACCTTGTGCTGCTCAAGTGCAAGCCTTACTTGCTTTGCAAGTAAATATCATGTGGACAATTTTTCTTTACTGAAGAGCTTGCACCCCGACACGACGATGTCACGTGATACGTGGCAGCTACCTGCAAAAGACCTTGTGCTGCTCAAGTGCAAGCCTTACTTGCTTTGCAAGTAAATATCACGCGACAAGATATCGTGTGTCATTGTCAAGATGGAAAGCTAGCTCTTCAGTAAACAAGACAGGTAAACTTGGTTGCAAAAGGCCTGTTGCTTGTGAGCACTTCTTTATAAACTGCAACAATTTGGCAGGCTTTCCCCCTAGTTTATCCCTGTTTACCGACAGCATTTGAGGGAGGGGGGCAATTATGATAGTTTCCCTGCTCTTGTACTTAATGCTAGAACTACATAAATATGCCTGTAACCTTTTCAAGCGAATAATTAAGACTACTCCGCACGGGAAAAATAGAATGCAATGAAAAATTTCACTCATATTTTTACCAACTGACATGTATCTATTCGTTATAAATCAACATTACCACTAAGAACATAGATTAAAATGATTTAAAAAAGAATTAGATTAAACCCGCAAATTTCTACAATCAAGTATTTCTCCTTTTTTATTACATTTGGGAGTATTTCTGCAGCTGAGAAGTTTTGCACTGAAATGGCCTCTTGAGGAGTAAATGTTCCCCTTGGAAACATATAAACATATAAAGATCAAGCATAATTTGTAAAGCCGCCTGTTCTTGTTAATGGAGAACATCAGACACTCAAACTTGACATTCACCTTTATAAGGTCAGTGACTTGGACTCTGACGACCGCGTCACTGAGGACACATTCAAAATTAAAGGGATAATAACTCTTCGTATGAGATCTATATTTTACAATACATTTTACAAAACATTGTGAATAACTCATACAAATATAATATATTCTGTTTTACCACAGAAATGGCAGTTATAGCTATTATTCTGATATCTGAGCTTGTCTTCAAACCAAGTGACCTCCATTGATGGCTATACTCTGTTATAATCTCTTAAGAGATTTTAACAAAAAACCGAACTTTTAGAAAAAAACAGGGACTAATGTTGAATGTAAAAATTGATTCATTAACCATTGGTAAGTATGGGAAAAATGTAGTTTACTCCAGGAAAATTCATTTTTTGGCCAAAACGAAGAGTTATTATCCCTTTAAGCTACTGGTATAAGACAAATGTGTTAAAATATCCAGGACGCCAACCTTAAAATAATTATGTGGCACTTGTTTGACTCTTTAAGAACACACTCGTATTCAACAACAAGAACGGATCCACATTCTGTTCTAGAGGTTTAATTGTTTGCGCGTGTGTGTGTGAGTAGTGAGGGGGAGAAAGACACGTGTACATTTTTAAGCATCACATTTGCTGTCCTAAAAAACAATCTAATGTGCAGCGCAAGACAAAAGTAATTAGTCATGTCACCCTTGCATCCAACACAACACACTAAAATTATCCTTATCTTCTATTTTATGTTTGCATCGCTTCGCTCGGCATTTTTTCATCCTTGACCCGTTCCCCCTGCCATGTGCAGGTGCACAGACATTAGGTCAAGGGAGCATCGTGAACAGGTTATGGTTGACGTGAGTAAGAAGCATGGTGCCGCAAAACCGAGTGTTCCACTTCTTCATCGGCATGGCGTGACTGAAAGGACTAGAATGCTCTGTTCTCCAGGGCCTACAGTACATGTACAAAATGGCTACTTACTCGAAGGGAGGAGCATTTGTGACACATTCCAGATATGTTGCGCTTTTCCTCTTATCGGGTTTGGTAATGGTTATTAAGATACGTGCT